CTGAGGTGCCTACCTTCAGAGTCTAGTTCCTTTAAACACTCCTTTTCTACCATAGACGGAGGCAAACTGGCATCTAATATTGAAAGTCACGGGGTGAATCTGAGCCCAAGAGTCTACCAGCTTTCCTGTGCTGACTGTGCAGAATTCAGTCCAACCATCCTGTCTGTCTATCAGGACTATGTTCTTCGGAAGCATCACCCAGTCCTTCTTCTTGTTCTCATTTTCTCAACCCTAGAAAATTCCTATCCAGCATGCGTGTCCTCTGTTTACAGTTCAGACCCACCTCCAGCAGAAATTAAGAAACCTCTTCCCCTCCCTTCTCCCAGCTCCTCCTATCACCCATTCCCCAAGGGAACCAATTTTGCTCTGTTCCAGCAACTCAAATTTTTGATAAAAGGTGCAAGTATGAAACAATGAAAACTGAAAATACTTCTTTCAGTACATGCACTGCTAATATACATTAAAATATCACATGCCCTCTATGCATGAGATTTCAATACCTTAAAGTCTGAACAGACACTAAAATTTTGCTTTTGCTTTAAGTTAGTTTGGTTAGTGGCAAAAAGCAACGTGTTTGAAAAAAAAAAATCAGAATTTGATTTAAACATGTGGGGAGCAATAAACTTCATTTTCTTGGAGACCTGTGGTCTGCATATAAAACATAACAGTGGTCAAATGATCAATAGGCTCTAGTTTGCTAGTTGCTATCCAAATGTGATTGTCATATGCATCTGAAATGCATCCACTTGGGGCTGAACCCCATCAGTCGTCAACTCTGGGCCTGACAACTGGACCATCTGTACAGGTATGTGAATACCTGAGGAACAGCACAGAGTAACTCCTTTCTGAGGAATCAGATCTGCTGCAAAGCTCTTCCTCAGTGCTTCAGTTATTCATTTTGAGGGGTATCTTTTCCTGTTAGCAGATCCTGATAAGAAAAGAGGTATATACTGCAGGAAAAGGAAGTCTTACCACATGTACTACCACCTCTGGTTTGTATCCTCATTTGAGTGAGGAAGCACACATTTGCCCAGACACAAAGGCCCCAGCAAATTATGCAGTAGCTCTAGACTGAATTCTATCAAGCAGAAATAGTTTGAAGTCGCAACCCAAACTCCTCTGAAGTCAACGCAAGAGCAAGGGAGAACTTTCCAATAACGTCAGCAGACTTAAACTTTCAAACAGCAGGGCTTTCAAGAAACACTGCAGCCCTTGAAGTTGATCTCCTGCAATGGGACAGCGCTACTGTGCAGAAGGGACTCCCACAGTAGCCGAAGAGGGCCTCGAAAGAGGTACCTTTAGCATATGAAACCAGCATCAAGGTTTGTACTGACTGAGGCAACAGCTCCAACACAGACCAGCTACTGTGACAGAAGAGTCTCCCGTATAAGCCAAAACACTGTTGGAGAACAAGATACTTTTTTCTGCAATAATTACTATGAAAAATTCAGTCTGCTTTGGCTTGGGTAGCCCTGTGTTGGAAGGAACACACTTGAAAAAATAAAGAACTAATACAGAACAATCCTGGCTGTGTGATGGTGATTTGTATGGCCCCGAAATCTCAGCTACTTTAATCACTGTTGTGGATGCAATGGTGACTGTGCAAATGCTTCAGACTGCAGAACTTCAGTTTTGATCCAGAGGCTAGAGAGCAAAGGGAAGCTAGTCAGATGGAAAGCAAAGTTATTCAATCCATTTACGTTATCCTGGCCTCACCATATAAACAGAGTAAAGCAGGAGACATTCACAATACTTAAAACAAAAAAACCCTGAAACAGACTTGCCCTTGTCTGACAGGATTCCATTAATTCACTGCCTCCACTTTTATAGCCAGATACCATAGAACAGATATTATATATGCTTGAAACACCAGCGACTCTAGCCTCTAAGGAAGTGAAATGGTGAATCTTGCACTGGAACATGAAAATTCAGAAAGCCCCATTCTGCATGCAGCAATTTGTTCTTTAGGATGTAAATGCATGTTCTCTTCCTCTCTTTCTCTCTCCTCCTCCTTCCTCTTTCCCCCAACTTTGCCTTTCCTGGCAGAGAAGTTCACATGACAGGTGCTCTTTGTCCCCAGGGCCCTGAGCTGCTGCCTCCAAAAAAAAGTTTACAGCACTGAACCGAGGGAAGAAGGATTAAACAAATGGCAGCAGAGGAGGTAAAAAAAAGGTCAGGAATACTCCACGAGTTCTTGCATTCAGAAAAGGAAACATTATGTCACTGGCATAGAAATGAAAAGCTATCTCCAGAAACATATTCTGCTCCCAGAAAACTTTATTTTAAAAAGTATGATTGAGAAGGTGTGCGCTTTCCACACTTCTCAATCATTTTACTGTATTTCAAGGCACCCGATACATGAATGTTTCAAGAGGAATGTAAACAGAGCAACAGACTCTTACTGTTTGACCATAATCAGCAGATACATTCAACTCCAGCAATCTTTAGCACCAACAAGCCTGAAAACGCATCTCATGTCACGGTATAAGCTTTTTACTGCTGATATATTTCTCCTTCAGTGGTGCCACCTGCTATCTAAAAAAGAGCTGGGCTACTACATCTACAAAGAAGATAAAACCCCCTTCAACTCAAGGTGAGGTGGTAATTCCAGGAATTATCTACTTATGAACTCAGAGAGCATGAGAGAAAAAGAGGCAGACACCCATGTAGTCTGATAGGACTTAGTTGGTCCCTTCAAATGCAAAGACACCACCAAGTAAGAGTCAAAATTAGAACCTTTCATACTTCATTTGTCTGAGAAAAGGCTGATCCTGATATTAGTGACGCAGTCTTTTTTTTTTTTTTTTTTAAATAATGATTATCTTCCCTTCTTCTCTGGAAAAATCTTACAAAATGAAAAAAAAATTACTCTGAACAGTCTTTCTAATTTAGGCTCTGGGTCTGGCAGATACTTCAGCATAGCTGCCTTGCTAAGCATGCAACTATTTATCTGCTTTTCAATGAATGCATACTGAACTAGCATCTTTCCAAAAATGAGATATTGCCCTCAGAACTTTAAAGTCACCTCATGATTTGTATGCACGTATAAACAAATGTAATAAATCTCCTTGCTACAGAGGAACAAATTTGATAGAAAAGTTGCTTCTCTAAAGAAATTATTCCATATTAGTATTACAGGAAAGAAACACATACTAATGAGGTGTAAAGTACTTCAAAACTTTCGTGTCATGATACCAGTATTAAGTAGTGTTTTAAATATAGATACTTTCCTGAACCAGGACTTCATTGGACAGTGATCCGAGGACACATGTTCCTTGTTTATTTGGCTTGCCTTACGGCCATGTTTTTCAGACCAAATACTCTTTTTTTATCCTATACTCATATTAGAAAGCAAAGGAAGAGTCAAAGAGAGGAAGAGCTTATATTCTTTAAACAAAAATTTTCAAGATAAGGATTCATGAAAACTCATTGGTTATATAGATATGACTATTCTGGAGACTGCCACAGGTAGACAAACCAGGAAAGGAGGCTGAACTCTAGCCTTAATTTCAGGTGGGAAGTTAAATTTGTTTTTTCCTTGTTCAATAAATTCTATAAAAAGGAATTGTACCGTACTACACATGTGACCTAAAAGCATAAAGTAGGCTATGTGAGTATCAGTGGAAGACTTCCTCACATATACTAACATCCTTTATTATCCAGTGGTATGTACCTGGAGGGAAATTATTCTATCTCTAAGAAGAACAACACGAAAAAAAACCCATAGTCAAATGCAAGGAGGAAGACCTCACATTCATCTGAGGGGATAAATTTGGAGGCCTGCCTTATAACTTTTAAAGGACCAAAAGCCACCCCCACTTTCTGGATGTGAACTATGGCAAAATATCACTGCATTAACTTCTGACCTTCAAAAAAAGGTTTTATGCTCCCCACAAGATTTATAGATTTAAGAAAGCATTCAAGAGTTCTGTGGTGGCTGTCGTTTTCACCGTGCTTGTGGCTGGGGTCGGTTTTGCGCACACCTCTGCACTGCAGGCCCCGAGCAGAAGACGCCTGCCCTGTGCTGGCCGCAGTGTGACTTACTTTCCGAATCGGGAATTGAGCTTGTTAGTGAGGAGCTGGTAGATGTGGTGATGCTCATGGAGGGGCTCATACCGTAACGGGGGTACGCTCCCGTCATGGCTGTGGTATGAGAGATCCATGCTGCAGGGTCAATTGGCCTCACTGGTTCAGCTGCAAAACAATCAGAAAACAAGCAAATGGAATCAGATTTGCAGTTAACATCAGGATCTAAATAAAAAGGAATGCTTTTTGAACGCACAAGTCCTTGCCGTTCTGATCACGCAACTGCCAGCATGGGGGAACAGAAGGCACCTTGCCAGCAGCATCTGGTTTATCTGGGAATTGCTGCACCAGCCTAATAGAAAACAACGATGACACTCATGTTCCTGTAATTGTAGTAGGAGTGAAATAATTTCCCCTGTGGGAAGGAAGTTATCAGCGCAGTATTAATAATTCACTATTATTCTGCATAGTGAGATAGAGTTTCTGATTTTACTATGATGCTTGGGCTATCCAGCGCTCACACAAACTAACAGGAAAATCACCGCCTACTTCTAAGGGTCTTGGACCCAAAAGAACCACTCAGACAGAGGGCGAGTCTTCTAGCGAGGGTGAAATAGAACAGTAACTGTAGACTCAGTATTCGCAGAGATGGAGCATCCTGGAGTTCCCCTCTCAGTGTTTTCAGCAACCACAGTGAAACTTTTTAGGATAGGAATGGTCTTGCAAAATAAATACAAAGAACACACAAAGAACATTTGAAGAGACTGGAGTCAGAGAGGAGTAAAAATTATACTCAGATTTTAAGAACAGCCACACAGTCAGTCATTTATAAAGCTCGGAATAAACTGAATTTTCCCATAATCTGGATTTCTTATCTTCTGAATTATGGTGCGTGTCATTCCAGTTCCTTGGAAGATGATTTTTAAAACCAGAAATTACGTAAAAGAGCTCTGCTTGTGGTAGATATTTTCCTCAAAATAACCCACACCGTGCTGCAAGCAATCTAGCCTACAGCAGATATACTACTGTTTGTCTCAGGTCCTTACCTGAGCAAAGGACAAACTGATACACAAGCCCCCACCCTCTGCAAATCTGAAATATACAATACATGGGATTTTTCTTTTGACGATGTCGAATTTCCCTAAGGACTTCACTGAGTGAGCTCCTTCACTGAGTGAGCTCCTGTAGTCTGTGGGAGTCTATTGCAATTTTTGCAATGGACAACGCTATCCTCAGCTTCACGAAAAAACTGGTAACAGAGCTGGTTCCAATACCACAAACGGAGCACTAACCAGCAAGAGGCCACTGTGTTTGTCACATGCACATAGATCTTCTATAGCCATTGAAAGGTTTATTAAAACAGAACTTTCAAAATAGGGGTATTTTGAATATAAACAATATAAACTATGCTGTTTGCCTCAAATTTTAAAAATACTCTGTTTAGATTCTAACAAGTGCACAGGACAAAATGACACTTTTGAACATTTAAATATATTCATCCTCCAACCTTTCCAAGGATATAGTCATCAAATAGTTAAGAGCTTGATCCAAAGCTACCTGAATCAAAAGAAGGACTCCCACAAATTCAGTGGGCACTTAAAGGTTAATCTTAAACACTTAAGATGCCCCACTGGCTATCTTAAACCTTTGCCTCCCAAAACAAAAAACAATCCATATGTCAAAACCTCGAACTAAA